CTCCATCGGTGAAACCACCGTTTGTGACTAATGCAGTAAAAGCACAGCGACCAGCTTAAGCTCAGCTCTTGCTTTTGGTGTTCTAAAGCAAAATCAGAGTAACAAGTTGAGCAGAGTTCCACATTTCAGCTGCTGTGGGTGAAGTTAAACAAGGTGACCGTGATGTGTTTTTTATTCCCTGGGTGTCAAGTCATGGCTTAGCCATCATGCTGGTGTCTTGCATAGCTGTATCACCTCCCTTACATCTGACCCCGAAATGCTTTTATATCAACTGTCTGCAGTGTGCAGTTGAAGTGTCTGTCAGGGTTAGCAAAGAACATGCAGGGTGGGTGGATGTTGGACATTGAAATATCCCATTCCTGTTGATCTTGACTTTTTCTTTTCCATTGAGTTCTTACTGTGTCTCTGTGTGGAGATGATTAGTCTACAAATAGCATGGCAGCCTAATACAATTGTCCCTGGGCACTGATGTTTGGAATATAAAAAGCACTCTAATGAGAATCTTTTTGACTTGGCTCAGAAGGAATTACACGGTAGAGAATATCCTCCCCTGGCTTTGTGATCAGAATGCCAAAGACATGACTTTTGGACAGGATCTGTGTGGAAAACCTCAACTGCAAGAGCCTCTGAGCTTTTGTTTGGGCAAATATTACACTCCTCCTTGCAATGGATTTTGAAAATTTGGTGTAGGTGTAACAAATGCCTTACTTTTTCTCTTTTTTTGACATTGGAAGGCAGGTGGCGCTGACCTGTTACATTCCAACTAGTGATACAAGTTGTTTCAGATGTGGGTCAGGTATAAAAAAGACAGTCTCCCTCTATTTTGGATTTTTTTTTTCTTTCTCTCTTTCCTGCACTGAGCTGAACATGAAGCTGTTACAATGCAGCCGTTACAGATTTCAGCACCGGGGACAGTTCCCATGCATTTCTCTGTCTCCCTCCTTCTGTCCCGCCTCCTCCTCTTGCACCCCCCCTTCCCCTCCCCCATCTGCCTCCTGCAAGCCTGTGTCTATCTGACTGAAGGGAGGGCTGACTCACTCGTTTACAGCAATGCAGCCTCATCATCAGTCTTCATCACAGTGACAAGCCTCAACCCCACATTCCCAGCAACCTTTTAACCCCTTCTACCAGACACACCCCTCTTCTGTAACCACGCTGAGTATGGTGTGCTGTCTCGGAGGTAGCAGGATTCATTTATTTATGCATGTATTTCCTGAGGAGATAATGTCGATGAAGGAGTTCATGCATTTTACTGCTGCAGCGGTCCAGACTGTTTAATATGCAGGAGCAGACCTTTAGAACGAAAGAGAGACATGGTGTGGGTGGCTGGCTTTTGTAAGTATCCAATCATAACAAAGGGCCCAAGGCCGAGGTCCAATAAGGGAAGAGCTGTTTAGAGATATATCCCCATGCACTGTAAACAATATAACGAATATGTTAAGGGAAGTGGATTCCTATAGAGTGGTGGATCCTCTGTTTTATCCTCAAGTGAAACAGGAGACCTGTTGGTTAAACACGGCAGAGTCATACAGTGTAAGGGTAAGTTTGTAGTACTGTTTAGTGTTTGCAGATGATGGCTTTAATGAGAAGATGATGACAGATGAAAGAGTCATGGTAGGCTGATTGTTTAGATCCTTTAGTTACAATACAATCCACCAAGTGCAGAATTTACCATTAAAGCCCAAACAGTATCGGTGGGTGATATTAACAGCTTTTTAAGAATGAGAAGCAAAAGAAGTTGACCAATGAAAGATTTGACAGATTGGCCGTGTTGTAGGCAGATCATGGATCTGGATGGAAAGCCATCCAGCTTTAATGTCAGTAACTCATATTGCTAAAAAAGAAGTTTGATACATTGGCAGGTCAGAAGCAGAGAATCTGGGTACCAGGAATACCATGAACTAACATAATGAGATAAAAGTACAAACTTAACCTAAGACACAGAGAACAACCGCTAACAAAATAAAACAGGAAAAAAGACAGAAGGGAACGGGAGAACCCAGACCAACTGGACAGAGGAGATGCTAAAGGACAAATTCATAGAAGCGAGACAAGAGTGGGACAGAACACGAAAGGCAACTTACTAAATACTGTTTAACCAAGATACACAAGAGACTGCTGGAAGATATAAATGATCTTGTATTGTGTAGGCAAAATCTACACAATACAAGCTATGTTACATAAAAAGGGAACAAAATTCAAACACAAGTGATTCTCAAATCCAAAAGGAATCACCATCCCACAAAAACTCAAAACCATGGGTCCAAGACTGAGGCACCGTTAAACTGTTAATACATCACTGTGACAGCAGCCGACTGAGGGAAAGCAAGTTTCAACTATTTTCTGTTATACAGAATTTGGCATTTTAGATCAGTGTTTCCCACAGTGGAGTAACAAAGGTCATGAGTTGTAAGGAACTGCTTTAACACACAGGGTCACGAGTAAACAGTAAAAGCCTAGAAACACTGCTTTAATCTCTGATGATGGCATGTTGCGTTTATGAACTTGTATTTTTAATTCACTAGCTGGGCCCACATCCTCATTTAAGTTTGACAGCGTTTTAGTAGGTAAAAGTGAATGCTTTGACATGAATTGAGCTGCGGTTTGGGGAAGACCTCGAAGAGGACTGGCGATGGCTCCCAGGCTTGGCAGATCCCCACGTACTAAATAGAAGTGAAGAAGTTGAAGAATGGAGAAGAAGAAGGGAGGGAGGGTGGGGCACATAAACGAGAATGATCAGCTTGCAGAACTAGGGGAACGTATATAGATGACAGCCGTGACAAAGTGCGCTGAAATATTTTAAATATCCTTAGTCAGTGGTTGGCAGATTAGCTGATCTCAGTGCCAGCCCATGTCACCAGCCTGTAGCTCAGCTGATCTCCTTATACACATTCAAAATGGTAAAGCTGTTTTAGCATTAGCCTGCTTACAGTTTCTGCTGCATCTGCAGACTACTTTGCAACCCACCTCCATTCCAACTCCTTTAATGCTGTGTCTGAACTGTGATGGACCATAGACTGAGATTTATTGTGTCATTCTAGCCTGAGTACCTCCTGTTTTAGGACACTTGCATAGATACTTTCAAAATGACCAAACAAACCATGATTCACTTGGCTGCTGCGCCTCCACCTTGAACCAAACCAGCCAAGACAGGATCCTATCTAGATAAATTAACTCTCACAGGCTGAGCCTTCTGCAAGCCCGATACTGCTGTGACATTACTGCTGACATCTGGTGCTGACCACCAGGTCCTGTCTCCTATAGAGAGG